CCCTTTTTTACTGTTTGGCCTTAGATGGAGCCACGGTTTGCTGGCGGTTCTGTGGGATGTCAAGTAAATTTACAGAGAGATCAGAGAGCAAACTTCTCTCTGGATCATAATGGAGTTTTAGTAAATGAGCACTCATCATTCAGTAAATACAGACACGGCTAACTTGAACTGAAGGTAATAATTTTCACAGGTTTGGATTATTTTTTTGGGGGGGGGACACAGAATTATCAGTGTTCTTAATATATTACTCAGATTGTACAATCTACATTTTGTAGATTATGTCTTGTTAATTTGTTTAATTTTAATGCAAATTTGTATGTAAAAAAATTATTAAAATTACTTGCTCCTAAAGAGAAATTAGAGAACAAAATTTAATACAGTTTCAAATTAGGTTTAAAGATAATGATTTCCAATTTTTAGGAATTTTAAATTTAATTTTTATTGTTTCTTATTAGAAAATAAATATATATAAGACATAAGTACCAAGTGGTTTTCAAAAAACAATTTTTAAGAAAATAATGACATTTTGTGTCCAGTTTTGTGTCCATTATTGCTAAAAAGGTTTTGCCATATTAGTTTGTATTGATGTATTTAGTTTTCTGTTTATTGTGATCAGATTTTTTGTATATTCCCTTGGTTTATAGCATTTTGTGTATGGTTACATTACTTTATTTATAATTCTTTACTTTCCCACACGCTGTCTGCTCTCTGTAACAGCTGTTCCTAATTCCCTCTCCTTAATTTACCTGCATTTAATGTAGTTTGCTCTATAAATTCAATGGTTGTCATTGTTCTTTGATGGTTCATCAGCTCTTTACTGCTTAATCCTGCTCTAGTCTAGCCTATATATTTCTGTTTTTGGATCAACTGATAAACTAGATTACTTACCCTCATGTATCAGAGGCTCATCCGTCTGTGAAGCAGCCAATCAACATTCAGCTGAATCTCCTCGTAATTCAATCAGTATCCAAAGTCCAGCTTAAAAAGACCTTCATGTCCAAAGCTTAGACTGCTACCCAACAAGCTTTTATAAGTTGGATCTGAGTGTTTGATTCTGATGAACCTGGTTTAACCCTCCTCCACCCCCTTCTGCACCATCATCATAAGCTCCATCTAGCTCCTTCTCTATGCCGCTGCCTATCCCTATTGAACTGTTCCCTTGTACTCCCACTGCATTCAACCCCACATTTTGAGCCTGATTCTGCAGAGATTTCTTCCCATAGCAGATTTTGTTTCCCTCCACCGTAACTTCATGCTTGCTCATCAGGGAGGTTCTTATGAATCTGCGCCAGCTGGCATCCATCTTCATACCATCTCTGTTCCACCATCAGTTTCAGGCCTGGGGGGAGTTCCTCCCTGTTCTCATTCAGCAGGTCATGCATATAATCAAAATCAATTTTGGTGTTAATGTACCCCGTTGAGGCCTGAGCACCGAAGACTTAAAACATTGTATGAATAAAATTCTTCTAATTGTCTTCCTTCTTTCAAGAGTTTTTCAGGTTAAACTAAACATCTTTAATTTATGTTCCACCTCTGCTTGTGTTTAGGTTCTTCACAACCATCAAATCTTTTTGTGACAAATTGGAACAACTATACTATAGGTCAAAAAACTGCAACCCTTATGACATGTTAAAAATAAAATCTCAGAGAATTATTTAAGGTTGATATTAGCCCAAGTAGCTGAGGAAAGTTAGATCTTTTTTTATAACATTTATTATTATGGTCACGTGTCTGCAGAGGTTTTGGATTTTATTGAACTCCATTTTAGCAATAATGTCCACAATAAAATTAATATCAATCAAATATGAAAGAAAAAAATATTTTGCTCAATTCAAACACATTTTATGAGAATAATTTGAAAACCTTTGCAATTTAGTTTTGGTTAAACGTTTTTTATGGTATTCCAATGTTTTCAAAGTTTTCTGCACTACTATGTGCAAAGTCCATTTATAGCATAATTTCTTTTGGTAAGGCAAAGGTAAGGGTCGTTAGAATTTTTTCCCCATAAAAGGAAAGACATGGAGTTTGAATGGGGAGAAGAAAGAGAGTAGAAAAGGCGTCTGAGGAAAGATGAGACAGAGTAAAGAAGCAGTGGGGGTGCTGAAGCACGAATAAAGCTGTGTCGTGTCAGTTCTTTAACAAGCACTCACTTCTGATCCATGAATCCAGTAGAATGTTCTTTTTAAAGAACATCAACCTAAAAGCATGTCCTTTATCTCTGTTTTGATTTTAAAAGGACAGTTTTATACAGCAGTTAATATTTTGGCAGACCCTCATTTGCAGAGCAGTGTCAGGTTTGGGCTGATCATTTAGATGGATGAAGAAAAGGGATTTTTTTTTATTGTCATCATAGCAAAAAGTTATTTGAATCAAGTCTTTCGTTAGTGGTGCAAAATCTTTCTCTTTCAGAGAACTGACTTGGCTCCCAAGGAGGAACAGACTCCTTTAACGCTCATCTGACAAACTCTTATTTTAGCTTAACTTAGCAAATATAAATGTTTTGTATGTTAATAGATCATTTTGCATTTAGTGTTTTTTATGAGAAGCCTTATACTTGCCCAACTGTATGTATATGTTAGGAAAAAAGCATTTCTTTTCAATACAATTTTATTTACATTTCTATTATTTAACCCAAAAAATTGCAAATCACTGTGAACAAAATCAACAAAAGCAAACTCCGACTGGTTATGATTCTGCTATGATCCTATATCACCACATGTGATTGGCTGTAAGTCTCCCATGTTCTCAGTCAAAACTAAGTTCTGCTGCGAGCAGGGAGGGATGCCACTGAGTAAGCACTGAGCAGTAAAAGAAAAGAAAAAAGGGACACTGTCGCTCACTCAATGGGAGTCAGCTATTCTGATTCACTGCAAAGCATCACCTCTCAGAGTCAATGCTTATGAGCATGAACCATCACAACCCCTGGTCTCTCAGTTTTCGGTTGATGCTTTACCTGCTTTAACTTTTTTGCCAACACTAATGAGCTTGGTATATTATGTTTTCAAAAAATAAAACATTTTTTAATGTATGTATTTTGTATTTTTCTCTCTTGCAAAACAGGATTATAAGAGTTACTGAAAAACAGTGCTGGTGAAAGTTTGTAGGCTGTAAAAGATTTTACCAAAATAAACAGAAATGTATTTGTTTTTAAGTTTAGTTATGTTAGGTAGGGCGAACCCATCCCTTACTGTAACACCTAAACCTAAAGAACAACTGGTAAACATGTTACCACACACTCTGAAAGCTATGAACAATAACTTTATAGGCTTAAAGTTTTTCTTTTTTTATTTGTGGCAGGTCAGAGGTCGCAGATGGTTGTCAATCTATGAGGAGAGGAGTTTCCCCTTAATTGTAGCATGTGACATGCAGGTATCAGTATCTCAGGAGTTGGGAGTTAGAATATGGAGCCTAGGCGGCAGTTCAACTGAAGGAACTCATTATTCTTCATACCTCCACCTGCGACACAGTCAACCAGCTTTAAACCGAAACTCCACGAAAGCCAATCGGCATCCAAAGTTCATCTTAAAAGGCCTCAGATATGCATCTGTCTGCTCCTGTTTGCAGGTGGTGGATGCACTGTGACTTCATTCAAATGACACAGTTTCAACCCATCTCCAGCCCCTTCTACACCTTCGTAGCTAAAACTTCATCAGAGTGTCATTCCTCCCAGACTCTTACTGTGTTCCCTGTCTAATCTTAACCGGTCTGGCAGAAGACCACCATGTTGAGCCTGGTTCTGCCAGAGGTTTCTTCCCAACAGGGAGTTCTCCCTCTCCACTGTTGCTTCATGGATGCTCATCATGGACAGGTTCTCTCAACCTGTGTTATCCAACTGGACTTCCTTCTTCCAGGTCCCTGAGTGAAGCTCTAGTATCAGCTCACGCAGTCCACTGGATCTCCCCATAAAGCTCAGCATACCGTCTCGCTCTCCACTCCATCACCAGTTGGGGGAAAACAACCCTATTCTTTGCTCCTGTTCATGCATATCTATCAAAATTAAGTGCTATGTTTGCTGCTGAGGTCTGAGCGGATTGAAGTGTGGTTATGTCGAAACCTTAGAAATGTTGACATTTCAATAATAGAAATAAAATAAATAAAGACAGGGTTATTCCTAATCTATCCAGTCATATTAGTTTTGCAACAATAATCTATGTTTAGCAATCATCTGATTATTTAAAGGCAGTAGGCTTGTCATAAAATGAATGGATCTGAGCTCATTAATGCACTCAATTGTATAGTGCCTTGAGATTACATCTAGTGCTAAATGAAGAAACTGAATAAAATAAAATTAAATCTTCAAGAAAAGTTTTCAAAATTTTATGCATTTACACATCTACACATTTTTAATCTGAGCTGACACAGCCAAAACCCAAATTTTATAAGAACAAAGGAGTTGTCACAACCTCAGAATCCCTTTCAGAGCATTCATTTAGCTGAAAGGTTTGATGCTTTCTCCAGAAAAAAAATCAGAAATTTTTCTTCACTCAGGAAGGTGACTTGTTTTTGCAATCAAACACACAGCATATCTGCTCTGAGCCTTGTTGCTCAGTGAACGTTGATGCTACTGTTATATTTATACTAATGGATTTCCTGTGTAATGAACTGGTGTAAATTTTCCCTTCATTGCCTGTAAAAAGACACGCCAGCTCTGCATTTGCTGTGTTGTTATGCTAATGGTGGCAGCAGTGATGCGCTCGTTCAAATGAAATGAAATGTGGGCTCAGTGAGGCAGGGAAACATCCAAACACAGTGAGGTCAGAAGGCTTTTTTATTTCCAAATATCTAGTAAGAAAGCATCTTTGAATGCACTGAATATCAACACAACCTTAATTTAAATTAGGGCAATTTTTAAAGTGAAAGCTAACAGAGCTGAGATGAAGCCCTGGTGATGTGACTGTCTTCATTAGAGCCTAACCATCCAAATCCAGGCACTGACACTAGTGAAAAGTTTAAAAATATTTACTTTAATGCTAAGTAGAAGTAATGAAAAATAAGCTTACCATTGTTGTTTCAGCAATGGAGCCAAAACTGTTGATAAAAATGTTGCAGGTCACATTGACAGGTGGACCTGCAGAAAGGACACAAAAAAAAAAGAAAAAAGTTAGTAATCTTTACATGATTAGAGATGTTATAAAAGGTTTCACCTATATTTTTTTGTTAAATCAAAATAAATGCTTTGAGATTTAGTCACATCAGTGAATTGTATTGATGCTCTTAAAAAGGGAAATTGTAATATAATTCAGCGCAAGGTCACTGTTCAGTATTTTGCCACATCTTACTTGATTCCCTAATCCAATTTGCAACCATTTTGAAACTAGTTTTAAAACGTAACCATTTACAGGGAACTCAGTTAAATACTTTGAAATTCAAAATTTCTAGTCAAGAGTGTTTTTGCAGAACAGACGTATTACTTTTGTAAGATAAAAAAAGTGGCAAAGGTCAATGAAATTACCTAAAACAGTCACTTTCCCTAATGTGTTGGGGAGAAAAAAATCAATGAAGTGCTTCTATTAGAAATTCCTGAAAAACACTCATATAAAGAAACACATTTGTTTGTTAGAACATAACCCTCAGAACAATAATGCTAAAAAGGGAATTTACATTTTTTTTCATTTTTAACTTAGCTTAATAGCTTTTTTAATTATCTTTTTATTTATTTATTTGTATGCTTGTTAATGAAGTTCTTATAAACTTTTTTTAAACTTAATTTACAGTTGGTAACATATCACACAGAGTAGGCAACGTAAGATTACTAGTAGTATTTTATGAAGCAGTTATATTTGCCTGATTTGTTGCAAAGTAGTATCTATATCTAAATGACCAAAAATAGTAACTTGGACGATAAAGGGTTAAAGGTATTCCAAACCAGTCAGAGGCACACTTGCCCTTGCCTGTTCTGTAACATTTGCTCCCCAAATGTCAGGTCCACTAATGGTCATGCTTACCTCTTGTTAGCATAAGCACATTTTTTACGTACCTGTCCAGTAGGAAAGCTGTGACCATTGTGTGGCTTCTGAGCCCATTTAATTTCTAATGCCAGCACCAGCGCTTAAAAGCTTGACCAATGCTTCTCAGCTCTATCATCAACTTTTATACTGGCATGATCGGGCAACGTTTTAGCTCTGTGTCATGTGACTACTATTCCTATTGGTGCAGAATCATTTTTTGTCGATTTTGCCATTGTAACCAGAAGTAAATATTTATATATTGTGTATCCATTGGAATTTATAAAACAGTTATTTATACACTATATATTTTTTTAGTAAAATAATACCTTTATTCTGAACAACATTGTGTAGCTGCGTTATTAATTTTTTTCTTATTTTTTTATGTATAATTTTGTCCAAAAAGATGTAGCTATATCCTTTTTGTATTGGGGGAAAATCTGAAATCTCTACAGCTGCAGACCTTTCTAAAGAGATACATATAGCAGAGACACCCAAATAGGCCTCTGTTGTAAAAATGTGTTTAGACCAAAAATTTACCAAACACAAATGAAGAGGTAGAAATATCACAAATCAGATAAATGAGAGGTTAAAAAGATAAAAAGACAAATTTCTTCTAGATCATTACGCATCACAAATTAACATTTTACTACATCTTGTTTTCATTTGGATTCAAAAGTAAAATTTATCAATTTCAAGTCTAGAAAGAAAATAAATTAAAAATAAATATGATAAAAAGGTAACAATAGCTTATAGAAATAGCAAATACTATCCGTGAACACACATCATGTTGAAGAAGATGAACAACAGCTGTGGTAGAGGTGCAGTGTATCAAGACTAACAAATGAACACTAGTTCACAACTCAAATAACACTAAATGAACAAGAAAACATGTTTCCAATCTCTTTGTGTACAAGATTTTGGGAACCCTTAACAAGGTAAGGTGGATGAATACCTTTTTACATTTCTTTCTTATTATTTGTCATCCTAATATGACAACATTCAATGTATTCTCATTATAAGTTCGTATGAAATCGTACAAAAAGTTATGCACAGTAATTTCGTACGTTTTCAACGTTTTTTTTGTGGTATTTCGTCGTATTTTTACGTCTTGCCTCGAGACAAGATATCCTTGCGCATGCGCATCTTACGCACCATTCAATAACATAGAATTTTACCTACAATTAACCCCAACCCTAACCCTAAGATACAAAACAGCAAGCAACCTAGTTAGAGACATCAAGAAGTAATTATTGCACAGTTTTTCCCAGTTTTACGTCCGTCCACAGATCTGCTTTTTTCGTCTGTCTGGGCACTGATCTGTTTTTTCCAGGAAAAACGTTGAAAACGTACAAAATACTGTGCATAACTTTTCGTATGATTTCATATGAACTGATAATGAGAATATGTTGCAACATTAGTGATTCAGACTGGTGATAAGAGGATAATGGTACTTTCTTGACAAACGTTCAACCCCCAACTCAGAATTGTAAATCACAACAAAGCCTGAATACTTTTCTTGCCCTAGTGCACAATGTCACAAGTCAATTCATCTCCAACTGGTATCTTGCAGATTACAATGAGCTGAAATACTCTAATGGCCTCCACAATAACCAACTAGATTTTAGTTGGGTTTTAGATTAATTGTTAATAAAGTGGCCAAAAAAATTACTTAATTAAGGGTAAATATTCAATTAACACACATAAAAGTATGATCTCTTAAATTTGTTGTTAGGGATTCTCTTTATTTCCTTCATAGCATCTGGTGTTAAGCTTGTGAGGCTGTATCTTTAAGAGAAAAGTTGTTGTGGAATCACAATATCACAATAGGAGGCAACTTTAGTGATAAAAGCAGAGTTATGTTGACAAGAGAAGTGGGAAGTAAATAAAGCTAAAGTAACTGTCTAGTGTGGTAAGAACAGATTCACGTGCCGAATGAATGAACAAGTCAAAACCTCCAAAAGAACCTGTCATCATCAGGACATTTCCCAGCTGAGATCTGGCCAAAGTGTATACATTTTAGTACAAATAAGGAAACCAATGGCATATAATTAATCTAAAAATAAAAATACATTTATTCACAAATTAAATCAGTTCATTTTTTAGCTTCTTCTTCCATGGACTACGTGTGGTGCAGAAGGTGGTTTACAGATGAGCAAGTTAAGGTGACAGTGAGCAGTAAATTAACACAGTGAAGTGTTCACCTCACAAACACACACTAAATTCAAGGCTGTTCAAACACAAAAAGGATTAGTCGATAGGCCGGAGTTGCAGAGAGGAATATGTAGGTTGACTCGGCAGAAACATAACTTTTACTCTCAATATAAAATTTAGGCAATAAGACCGAAATTACTCATATCTGTACTTTTGAAGTTCTTAGAATTTGTGCTTTCCTACAGAAAGGGATAAAATGACAATGAATACAATCTACTTAAGAGAGATATTATTACACGTATAGCTGAGTATATATATATATATATAAACAGATACAGTTGATTATATTTCCTGTGCAAAGCTTTAGTGCACAACATAAAATAGTTGGAGCCTTTAAGGCTTGGTTCTTTTTAACAATTCAGTTTTACAATATGAAGGACGAGATAAAACATCTGCAAATCAGTTTGCGACTAGGAACCAACATTGCATCCAGCTGAAGCTGTAAATCTTTCTTACTCCGCATGCCCTCTATTCTTTGATTTTAATTCCAGAAGCAACATTTCTTCAGAACATCGCAAACACAAAAATACTGTATGTTTATCAGGGACTACAAGTTAAAAGCAGTAAATTAACACAGTGAAGTGTTCACCTCACAAACACACACTAAATTCAAGGCTGTTCAAACACAAAAAGGATTAGTCGATAGGCCGGAGTTGCAGAGAGGAATATGTAGGTTGACTCGGCAGAAACATAACTTTTACTCTCAATATAAAATTTAGGCAATAAGACCGAAATTACTCATATCTGTACTTTTGAAGTTCTTAGAATTTGTGCTTTCCTACAGAAAGGGATAAAATGACAATGAATACAATCTACTTAAGAGAGATATTATTACACGTATAGCTGAGTATATATATATATATATATATATATATATATATATATATATATATATATATATATATATATATATATGACTCAATGTAATGTCTAATTCCACTTGCCGGGGGCTAGCTGAGAATGAAGGAAGGGGTCTGGATTATTTTGATGGCCAATTACTCCTGCTGTCACAGTCAGGCAAAAGCCTGTGGCCAAGAGGGAAGAAATATCATGTCATAGTTATTCACAGACACACACGGACAGACATACAACTGTTGTTACGGCAGAGAGTAGGTTGTAGAAGTACGGTTATGAGAGGAAATAAATCATTAAAGTTTGCCTGAGGGGATCATTCTTTATGTGAGTTATATGTACAACAGCCAATTAGACAACACATATTACTTACAGAACAGTGAAAAGGGATGATGATAAAATTACACTGAGGGTTGAAATGACATAATAAATTTAGCAAATGTGTTTGGTCATTGCGTACTAGAAGCAGAGATGGGAAGTAACGAAGTACAAATACTTCGTTACTGTACTCAAGTAGATTTTTCTGATATTTTTACTTTACTGTACTACTTATTTTTATGGCGACTTTTTACTTCTACTCCTTACATTTTTACACAAATATCTGTACTTTCTACTCCTTACATTTTAAAAAATTGTCTCGTTACTTTAGTTTTGAATCATTTCAATGGAGTTACCGTTATTATTTTTCACGTCATCAATACCAAATTCAATGTAATTGGATGGGAATCTACGTTGCATTTGACGCACCACTACAAGATGAATCGACAGATTCGGCGGTATTCATTGGCGGCAAATCATTGCAGCTTGGTGGCGGTGGCGTTAGCATAGTAGCATGGACGACGAGATGATTGAAAATGAACACAACGGAGATCTAGTCCTATTGGCAGACATCCATTTAAATTGTAGGCAACGGCATGAAAAAAGTGGTTTCTACTTTTACTTTTATACTTTAAGTACATTTACAAGCCTGTACTTTGTTACTTTTACTTGAGTAAAGAGGTTTAATCAGTACTTCCACTTTTACCAGAGTATTTTTTAACACAAGTATCTGTACTTT